AAATATTTTTTACATATTTCAGGTTTCTTATTTGAAAGTATGCTTTTACCGTTTCACCTGTTAAATATGAAGTAGAAGATTAAACTGGTTCAAAGTGTTAATGAAGGATCTGCATGCTTGCTATGTCTGTTCATCAGGAAAAGCAAGCCTCTCCCAATTTATCTTGAGAACACTAGCAGCCTTACAGTGACAAATTTTTCTTGAGGAAAAAAACTTACGCTGTGGCTGAATTACTGTTGCTGCTAGACTCTGAAAAAGGCTTAGCAAATAATACCTATAATATTCAGTTGAGTGGATTTGGCCGCTATTGGGCATTCGGGTCAAGTGTGAATATGTGTAAAAGTGCTTTTCATATTTGTCTGTGCATTATTTGAAAAAACATCAAAACTGCTGTAGTTTCCCATTTCTACTGTATTTCACTTGCAAACTATTTTTAATAAAGTTTGTATTGTATTTAACTTTGCATTAAATTATTTTTGTGCTCTTACTTAATTCTGCATTCCTAACAAAATTGTCATAAACCAGAGGGGCTCTTAATGTGTTTTGCCTTGCCTGTGCTCTTAAAATATATTTACAAGCAAAGTTTGTCTATCTTATAATAAGTAGATGAAAGCCTCAAATTTATTTTACATGGGGAATCAACAAAGGAGGCTAACCTTCACTAATCAAAGGGGAGAATTTCTTAGCCTAATGTTGTTTGATAGCTGTAGCACTGACTTGAAAGAAGTGATTTTTACAGCAACTTACGAAGTAGTACATATCAGTGGGGTTGATGATACATATTAGTCATACTGTATTTGTATCCTCCTCAAGTATAAAGTTGTTTTTCTAAAGAGAAACCTGGGACATGGCATCTTTTGGAAAAGTAAATAGTATATGTGGAGTTTGTACTGGGGTTGCTGTGCTTTATGGGAGTCAGCAGTTTAAGCTCTGCTTGAGGAGGGAGCCAGGCCCTAGTGAAGTGCTGTAGATGCCTTCTGCTGTAGCTTTACATCTGCTGAAGATGGGATTGAGAGCCACCTGTAATCTCGAACTCAGCTTTTAATTTTGAATGTAAAATGTCTAGCCTAGAAGAAAAGAAAACGGAAACAATCCACTGCCCTTCTGTGAGTCCCTCAGTCTAAGCAAGAGAAAAGAGCCAGTACAATATGTGATGAATCTGTAGTTACTGCAGCTGTGAACTTTGTCATAGAAACTTTTACTTCCAGACCAAAGTATTCCAGGGGTTCTAAGAGAGGAACCATGTGTGATGTGCAGCAGTGGTAATGCATTTTCAGTGGGAAGAAGCTTTGGGCTATGCTTTGAGGTGAGGTTTGGTTAACGGGCACACTGGTGATGCTATTGGGCAGTGCAGCACCTGCTTTGCTTTAGAGATTTGAGTTGCCAGCCTTGGCAGCACAGCTCTTGGTGTTAAGTGATGGTGGCCCTAATGGTTGTAACTCTGTGAAGTTACATTTGCATATTAAGCCAGCTCTCAGCAAAACTAATTATTTTAAACCCATATCAGATTCTCCCTTCTGCACTTATCATCCGTATACAGTTTCTCAGCTCCTTTAAGTAATGTTTGTATTGCAGTCTTGCTGGGTTTTGAGGAAACGGTAGGGGAATGAAGATGTCAACAAGTCCATGTTGACAGTATGCATCCTGTTCTCTGGAATAATAAGCAATATACTTGATAATACAGACTGCTGCTCATAAGCCAAGCAATGARTACTCAAGTAGAATAAACAAGACTGTTCTTTACCTCCTAATTTAATTAGATAAAACATAGCAATGGTAAAAAACAGCTTCACTAATAATAAGTCTTAAAACACATGTAGTGACTCCTGTATGTGATGATAAGAACTGACTCTTCCTCATGTTTTGTGAAATGATACATTGGTCTTGGGGTCACTTACTGGCAGTGTGGCCCAGAAGGCAGAGATTCACAGGTTAAAAATTTGGAGTTGACTGACTTCTTTTCTAGCTGTAACGGGAGGTAGACGTAATGAGGTGCAATACACCTGCCCAGAGCATCTCAGTTTATTGTTAGTAACAGGTGCTATGAACTGACCTAGAATTAACAAAAAATGTGCAATGAAATACTTGCAGCTTCACCAAATAATGTTTCAGGTGGTTCAAATTAACCTCCTACGGGCTGTGTGCAGTACAGCAGTCCCAGGCTACCCTATGCTGAGTGTGGAGAATGCCATCTCATGTAGGCAGTAGAAAACGCAAAGGCATTCAGCAGAACCTCTCTGTGTTTGGCAGAAGAAGGATAATGGCCTTCTCAGTACTTTTCCCAAATGCTTTTCTACTCATTTTGTTTCTTGTTACTCCATTTTGGAATACTGTAAGGGACAACTCACCAGAAGCTGCCAAAGCTGGGACCTCTTAAGTCTTGTTGGTTCCWCTGCTGGGGTTAAAGTGAAATGCATCAAAAGTATTAAAGACAATGCTTACTTAATAATATCCTAAGACTTGTAATCCACTGACAGATTTTATAATCCACATACGGTTATTTCACTGATGTTAAAATGAATAGAGTTAATGTGGATTTAGACAATTCCATTGAATTTCTGGCCCTGAAGTTCCACAGAAGGATCTGTAATAYGCCAGGGTTCTGCATGTGCAGGGGGAATATGGGATCAAGTTGGTAAAAGCTGGGGAAAAAAAGATTCTTCAAAGCAGAGAGTCAATGTACAAGGATGTGCTGGAGTACAGTCTGGCAGCATTTTCAGAAGATACCTGGATTTTAAATTTGTTTTTCACCTAGGTCTCACCAGCAGGCTGTTTTGTTCCCTGCCCATCAAGCAACCTCTCCTAAGCTTTGGAAATAGAAGGAAGATCCATAAGGAGATTTGCTGCCATTTTGATGAGTCACACATCATTCTGTGATTTTGTTTGGTTTTATACTGGTGGGACAATTTGAGTACTATCCAACCTTAAGAGGTGCACAGAAAAAATGACTAAATAGGAGTAGTCGATGATCAGTTTTAGGTTAYTACTTCAGAGTGATAGCAAATTAAGTATTATAGAAACAAGATCCTTAATCTCATTAATACTGGGTAAAATCCACGGTACGGGAGAGATTAAACATTACACTTCAGAGGTGGTCCTTTTGAGATGAAGCTGCATTTTGCTGGAAAATGACATTGTTCTGACATGATTGCTGCTGCAGGATAAGCATTACATATAAAATCACAGCTCATTGTCAAGAATTGTGAGTCATACCCCACAAGCAATTAAATCATCCTCTCCAAAATAGCTGATGTTGATTAAAATCCTATCTGCCTTACTCGGTGCCAACATCTTGTAACATCCACAGCCCTGCAGCACTTTTGAGCTCTTTTTTAGCCTATATCTATTTGTCAGTTCAGATTTTTCCATCAAAGCCAAAAGTAGTTGCAAGGAGGAACTGCTGAGTTACATTTTTGTGTGCCAAACCCAACTGCAACCAGCCGGATGGGTCTTTCTTTTTAAAGGGAGGCTATAGATGGTAGCAACTTGTTGAAGATGCAGGATCACAGAAGATGGTGGCTAAAGCTGCATAGGGGTGTTTGGTTTGTTCTGTGATAGAAAGGCTGCATCTGGGTTCCTCTGTAAAGGAGTGCTATCAATTTTGTGCCAGTTATGGAGGGATTCACTGCTGTGCATCTCTGGATTTTCTACTGCCTGTATGAGAGCACATTTGCCATGTTCAGTAACTCGAGACTGTTGTTTTGCAGAACTGGATTCCTCTGTAATTATCAGGCTGGCTTTGGTTTTCAAAAAAACAAAAAAAAAAAACCGCAGCACAAAAATAGTGCTATTTCCCATTTCCAAGAAGCTGACATGTCTGTATCTGGCATATGTATATATTTTATAGCCAAATAATATAATGACTGCTTTCAAGATCATGTAAATCTTTCAGTGAAATACAGTAGAGCACTAAGTAATATTGCTAACGTATGTCACATTTTCACCTTGGAAGCCTCAATGTGAGACCYGCCAGCCATAGCCTGGATGAATAGCTCCTGTCCTGGGCAGCCYCTCAGAACTCCCACACCAGCTGAACCCATGGGCTTTGTGGTTGTCCTAAGAGCAGCCCTAACGCTGGCCGTGTTTGCACTTACTGAACAGATTCCGTGGTGCGTCATCCAGCCCAGTGTCAAAGCAAGGTCAGCTACAGCTGCTTGCCCAGGACTGGGTCTGATTGAGGTTTGAGTAGCTCCAAGGGTGGAGACTCCATCATCTCTCTGGGCAGCCTGTGCCGGTGTTGGACTACCCTTACACTATCCTTATACACATACCTCTTGTCCTGGCCACCGGACACCCCAGGGCAGTTTGTGATGTTCATACTCTCCCATCAGATATTTGTGCGCATTGACYTGATCCCCCTCGGCCTTCTCTGCTGCACACGCCCCAGCACACTCCGTGTAGCAGATGTTCCTATCCCTTAATCTTCTTTGTGGCCGTTACGGCCTTAGTCCAAAGCACACATCACCAGCTGCTCAGAGAGGAAATCCTACAGCCAATATCAGAGCTCTTGGCTCTGCCCTTCTCCTCCTCCGCCTTTGTGCTGGTGTAAGATCTGTGCCCCTGGGCACAGGAACCGGGTAGCCTTACACTGCCCCTGGGAATTCCAGCCTTTCCATCTATTCCTGCACTCCYCGCCCTAATCCTTGGCCTTGGGGTCGAGATCACTTATACCAAGGGACGCTGTTGGCGGAGGGATCCCCCACCCCTATGGATAAAGGATATGGATCTCTGAGGCCATTTGTCCCAGGGGGCGCTGACGGCGGAGGGATCCCCACCCCTACGGATAGCATGGCCGATCCCTGCTCAGTCTCCCTGCTGGGGGCGCTCTTTGTCACAGGCATTTGCCGTGGTCCCGCCCTGTCCCACTCCCTGCTCGCGGATTGGTTAGTCACTCTGCCACTCAGGGACGGGGTAGCTAACAGGCTGTGGCGCTCGCTCAGCCAATCGTAGAGCAGGGCGCAGAGCTCCGGGAGGGAAGAGGCGGGCCCGTCGCCATGGCAGCCGCGCTACGCCCCAGACGCGTCCCGGGTTAAATCTCCGCCGGAGCTAAAGGAATTCTCTCTCCGTCTCGGCGCGGGAGCGGGAGGATGATGCGGCCTCGGCGCGGGCTCGACCCGGACTCCGTGTGGGCGCAGCGCCTGCGGCAGCTCGAGCACCGGTTGCGCGTGAGGAGGCGAGGAGCGGGAGAAGGGGCGGGGCCTGCGGGCGGGCACGTGCTGCGAGGCCGCGCCTCGCCCGCTGAACGGGAGGGCTTGGCCGGCGCTCGCAACTCCTCCTCCTTCATAGGGGCGATCCCAAATCCGGCAGTTTGTAGGGGCTTGTTAGACCCCGACGTGTGGGGGGGAGGCTGCTCCATCTGAGGCTGGGATGGAAGTAGAGAATCAGAGCGGCTCTCCTTCCCTCCTGCCTCATCTCCGGGCARGGCGGGCTCTCAGCGCTCTCGGGAGACGCTCCTGGGCTGAGGGAGCGTCTGGCCGCGACACCTTCAAAGACCTGTAACAGTGCTGCCTTGGAAATGGAAACTTACATGCTTATGTATAAGTAAATAAAACAGTGCCTTTCTAAGGCACGATTCTGGAAAATGCCAGGAGGAAGTGGTTCCGCAAGGCAAAAGCGGTTAAAATTATATATATCCRTGTGTTCACACACAAGCAAACAACATCACAGAAAGGACAGAAATAAGGAAATGTTAAGAGTATATCCTGATTTTGAATACTCGTTTACAAATATTGCTGTGATTAGAAGATGGGGGGTAATCCATTGATCTTAGAAGTCTGACAAACAGTAGAATATGATAATGAAGGCTGTCATAATGAAATATGATTAACAATGTTAATCAGACTTGTATTTTTTTTTTTTTTAATTTGCGTTTTTGTGGGTTTTCCTCTTTAGACCAAAGAAGAAAGAATAGTTGTCCTGGAAACTGAAAATGCTGCTCTTCATCTGAAGCTTGCACAGGTGATTGGTTTTTTTCAAAAAGAATTCTTGTGGAAATAGGAAAAAGAAACACTGGAATCTGCCTTCCTCTTTTCAGGTTTTGCAMTTTTTACCGGTTGGGAAAATCTATGAAGGCATTAAGACTCAGTGTTTCTATCCTTTTCAAAATCATGAATGGCAGCAGTAATGATAGGCTGATTGAGTAACTAGAAGTTGGCTTAAGTTTAAATATTTGATGTTGTTTTAAATCTATAAAACTGAACTGAGGGAATGACTCTGTAACATTAAATATGGAATGCTGCTTTCTTTTTACAGGGAACATGTTTGTCTAAAAGATGATAGATTTTTTAGGAATATTTTTTAGACACAATTAGGATGATGCTTTGAAAAGAACTGTTCATAGAGTGCAGGAAAGACATTTCAATTTGAGTAARCTTACCAGGGATGCCCTGTTATGTGTGTTCATAGGACTGGTGTTACACTTGTCTGGAAAAGACCAGGTATTGTTGCACATGTACATTGTCACAGAGCATRCAGCAACAACTGGATACCCTCATTTCCTTATATCCTTCTGCAGAAGCAGAGGTTGTTCCTAGATCCTTACTGAAATAAGGAGCAGCCTGTGATAATGTTTAGGGCCTTCAAAGGTAGAATTCCAGAAATTTACAAGATTTTGAGTATGGATCTAGGCTGCTAGAACAGWGCCAGCAGTGAGTATCAGTGGTAACTAACTGTTGGCCAAGAGTTTCTAACCTGGGCTGAAACATTAACTGGTTGGGTGACCGCAAGGAAGCTGTTTGCCTTCTGTGGCTTTGTTAACACCCGTGGATAAAAGTGGGTTTAACATTTTTCAAAGTCTAACTGGAAACAGGTGGTCCATCTGAAATTAGTTTTGCTAGGTATACAGAAGAAGACTAATTTATTCTGAGAAAATGTTTTTATTGTCTTTGTTCTGSTTTACAGTATTCACTGAAAGCCTTAAGTATTTAATCTGATTATTTTTTATCCCCACAAGCACAAGAAATAAATTATTCTCGTCAGTAAAGGATATCAGATGTAGGAAGGAGTTGCCTGTGTATTAGAGACTGAAGCCTTGTTTTTGAAATAGAGCACTGCTACATTTTATTGGAAAATGCACTGGAAGATATGGACCCCTACAGACACAYGAGGAATGTGGGCAGTGTTACACCATCAGTCAGAAACAATGTCAAATTAAATTCTTTGCAGTTAACCCTGCACTGATTTTTCTATTCAGACAGGTATTTAAATGCACCTAAAAACTTGCCTCTTCTTGGTTAGTTTGCCGAAAATATGAGCTGAACTGATATCTATGATATCAGTTGAATTTAGTTTTAGTTTTAGTTCAATTGAAGACTCCCTATTAAAAACAATACTAATTGAAATTAGTATCATTTAAAGCTGTGCAATRTTGCACCATATGTGCTAATATTCTGCCAGCTGTACTTGTGGTAAAGCTACTCTCCTTGACTGTCTATCCGTGATCCTTCAGATCTGCTGGTGGAGCCTGARTGATTGAGCTGTAACAAGTTCTGTCACAATGACCAGGGTTAACAGAGGTCTCATTCTTAACTTGTAAAAGCTAATTGGATTCATTTTGGCTGGAGTGTGTTGGGAAGCTTTGGAGACAAACTTAGGAGGATTGCCATGCAGTAGGATTTGCAGTGTAAAYATTTGTCTATAGGTTGCATCAGTCTGATTAAAATGTTATCTCCTGCTATGGACCTTCCTTTCTATCCCTGAGACAGTGATGAATTTCAGTACTTCTACTGTGTGCTGCAGCCTGGTATATTGTTATCCCAACAGCATACTGGAAGGGTTGTTACTGAACATAGGAAGTCAGATTCTTCTAGGTAGACTTCCTTTGTTYATTTTTTTCCTATTTGCAAATCTGTTTATCTACCTGCATAGCCCTTGCTTTTATTAGCAGTCTTCGAGTTCCTGATCCTGCAGCCCTCTTTACATTAAGCCAAATCTGCCAGAATGGATCTGATTGCAAAACTGAGATTTCACTTTGGAGAATGCTATTGAGTMGTTCAGTTTCACGTCTGCTTATAATAAAGCTGACTATGAAAATGTTTTACTTGTTTTTTTCTTCTATGCACAAACAGAGGTTTGCAAGTTATGGCCTATGAACAACTCTGATGAATGTTAAAACTCTTTTAGTGGAGAAAATCCCAAAAATCAAGGCGACATTTGCAGTAAAGATGAACATGATAGGGGAAGTGATGAGAGGGTGACTGCAATGACAGTAGCATCGACCTTTCTGCTTTTCTTGTTAGTGTTGAGCAATGTGGAGGGTCAGGGGAATCTGTGCAGATGGTGAAGATTAGATGCTAAAGAAGGTTTTAACTACCCTAAGCTTACTTAACAAGGCTTGAGTACTTCAATTGCTTATAAACATATGCATAACTTTTCACGTGTGATTGGAGATACAAATTCTGGTGCCCTACTTGTTTGGTTTTTTGTGAAGGTGTTTGTAAATATTAAATTTGAGTAACACAAGTCTTGAAAATCCTCAGCTTTTTAGTGTTGAAATACTGTATAAAATCAGGCTCAAAATCTGGGAGCTTAAAGCCTCTAACAATTTTTTTAAAAAATCTCTTTCTGCTATTTCTTGTAAGAACTTTTTATATTAGTGCAAAGGTGGTGCATCGTTGTACAGAGCTTCCAGTTGCATTTATAARTAGAAGATTTGTGAAGGTAAAAAAGCAACATGAGAATACTGGTTTCAGTGAAGTGCTTTTTTTGAAAATTATAATCTTTCTTTATCCTAACAGCTTCAGGATATTGTATTGTTTTCGCTAATATTTTCTGTASTTAAACTGCAATTAAATGTTTGCTTTTTACCTGTTGTTATCAGATGATTGGAATTAAATCAARCCTGTTGTGTAAGTAGATTTAGCACTTTCATGTCTTTTGTTGTATTCTTCTATGCTTTGATAATTTAAATAAYAGTGAATTGCAGTCACAGAATTCATTGTGTGAATCAAGTAGGAAATAAGTCAGTGCAAGAGACAAGTGCATTTCCAAAATAAAGGAAAAGGCAATTAGTACTGACTAAGGAATGATGTCAACAGGTGGCAGGGGAAAGTAGATGAAGGAGTTGCAGCTCATTTTAAGCACCAAGACTGTCAGATAATGAYAAAAATGCATTTTTTAGTATAACACATATTCTTCCATATTACAGAATTTCATAAGAAATCTCCATGGAGATGTCCTTTTTTGGAGTCATGCCTGTAAATATTTCCAGTTGTATTATTTTTATTTTCCTTTTGATTTCCACATCTCACAAAATTCCAAAGTTGGCAGTAAGAATTGCTTTTGCATAATAGGTAATTTTAGACTGTTAGAAAGCTTTCTTCTCCGTATCCTTTAAAAAATGTTTTGGTTATTTTGAAGCTTTRGTTGCTTTGGAGACCCAGAGCAGGGCTTTATTGGCACAGCTTGGCGCCATTGCAACCCTCCTGATAGTAATGGAGTTGGTGTTGTCACGGGGCACAAAGTTGGGGGCTGTGTGTTACCAACTATTTCAGGACTTCAGCAGTTAACACGTGTATGATTTGTCTTTGTTCTGTTTCATGGCCTTCCACAGTGCTTTCTGCATTAAATCTAGTTTCCAGGAGACAATCCAACTGTATAACCAGCCCTTTTYCCTAGGTCATGACACAATTTAAAGCCTTTAGATCCACCTCATGCATAAGTAAGAGGGTTTAGGTCCTGCAAAAGCATTTTAGTAATCTGGMGCTCAGGTTTGCAACCCTAAGAAAGTAGAATTTTGTGATGTTGACCAGTTTTCATGTGGTAATTCTTTATATGATTCAGAAAAAGGTAAAAGCAAAGCAATTATGTATTGGCAACATCCTGTGTAATCAGATAGTTGAATTACAGGTAAGAAACATGGCCATTTTWA